CAGGGCATTGGAGGTTATTAATTGGCCTAGTTTCAATATTGTGGTATCTCAGGAAATAGGGAAGTCAGAGGAAAGGGAGGAAGATGAGGGAACAGCTGGTTTGGAGAGAAATTAGAAGACACATTTATCGATTAAGTTTGCCGTCTCATGTGGGGGGCGGTCCCTAGTGCCCCAAACAATTACAATAGTCATACCAAAGCCTACTGATCACAGGTCACCACAGTAAATAAAATCATAATTAAAAAGTTGGAAATATGAGAGAATTACCAAAATGTGACAAAGGTGAGTGAATGCTAGCGGAAAAATGGTGTGGATAGACTTGCCCAAAGCAGGGTCGCCACAAACCTTCAATTTCCAAGAAAAATGTAATATCTGTGAAGCACAATAAAATAAGTTATGCCCGTATGGTTACTCATGCTCTCTGAATCACAGAAAATTAGCTATAACTGGGGTGTCCACAGAGATTTCAAAATAACATTAAGAAATTTTACATTTTTTGTCAATTACTAGACAACCCTCAAGCAAATAATCTTGCCTCAAATCAGAAAGTACATTATAGTTAAAATGAAGGAACAGTGACAATATAAAACTCTACCACAGTACCCCTGGATAGGATTACTTTTATTCCTAATAAAGATTTCCTTTTATTTTTATGCCTTTCAAAACCTTAGGTAGTTGAAGAGTTCTTTTTTATTTAAAGCAAACATATTTTAGCATAAAATCATGGAATTGGTATAAGCAGCATCCAAAATAAAGTTCCTTTTCATCGTTTCATTTTCATATTGTGTACATACATACATTTACAAGCACCAACTGATCAGGGCCTTGACTCTATGTATTCGCCTATTTGCAACATAAACTCGTTTAACTACTCTAAATGGAATTTACTCATTTTATACGTCATACCCATTTTATAAGACCATAATGGATATTTTCCCAATTTAAGTTGTGTTTCATATTTTTCTTATTCAGTACTTCCTGACAAATACATATTTGTTTATTTTCGGTCTTATCAAATGGAACTCCACTTTCATCCAATCTCTTAAGATAATCATATGAACCCTGCCTGAGGGATCCCCTTGTCCCATTTAATGTTATTCTAGGTGACAGCTTCAAGCAGCTCGAATGTAATGCCTAGCCATCCACTAATAAGTTAGCCTTGTTCTAGGTCTGGTTTCTCATACTTTAGTTCCGGGAATCAGGTTTCTGATTAGCTCTTGAGCCCCAATTCCCATATTCCAATAAGCAGATGCTCTCTTATACTTTAATGCAGAAGTTCCTGTCTGCGAAAATTATCACTTAAAATATTCTGCCCATGTGATCCCATAAGCAGAACTTAAAAAATGTTGGCATTTTACCATGTGAGCCACAGTTCTCAGATAGCTGGAAGCAGGACAAATATTATTTTTCAGGCTATGTGCCCTCTTTTTGATTCCTGGAAACCTCATTGTTACAACCAAGTTAATATTCCCAGGGGAGTAACTGTTAGAATAATCAGAGTAACAATAAAGCTGGTATGTGAGGCGGCAACTTGAATAACTTGGTTAAGCGTCCGCTAAAGAGCCAGAGTAAGAGGTCAAAGAACAAGAAAACGGAGAAAAGAGAAGAGGGGAAGGAGTTGAGTGTGCATTTTCTAACAAATTTGAGACATTTCATTTTTACTATGTATAATTTCAAGTTCTAGAAACTGCAGGCATATATAAGAAAAAAAAAACATCCTCTTTGGTGATTTTGCCAGCCAAGTAACCTAGAAGTAATATTCATACTTCATTTGGGGTTATGTTTCCATAAGTATCTTCAATGTGTCCACTATTTTTCAGAATCAACTCTCTTTTTACATTTCAAAGTAAAATATACAATATTGAACACCAATGGTTGCTGGCATCACAAAAAAGAAAGCAATCACACGCTAAATGCCTCCTGATGGAAGAACAAGGCTAACTCTGAAGTTCCTGGCCTCAAACAGAACCTGGATCCTGAATCCGAGTGGTTGTCTAGACTCAAATACCAACTTACAAACAATCCAGAAGGCAGCGAGATACGGAGTACCGTCACCATAGTACTATACTCAGCAAGCCCAGATGGGAATTCCCTGAGACTTAAAACCAGGGATTTTTCCACAAAGTGCAAGGGCAAAAAACAGAGAAGGAGAATTTGTAGATTAAAACATTTTTTTTAAAAATCAATGAATTTCCAGGTGTGAACTTTAGATCCTGATTTAAATAAATGTAAAAAAAAAAAAGACATTTAGGAGACTACAGGATAGTTGTACATTTCCTACTTATTTGGTGATAACTAAGGATGCTTATTTTTTAAACTGTGATCATGGTATTGTGGTACAATTGACCCTTGAACAACCTGAGGGCGAGGGGTGCCCTCATGGTCGAAAATCTACGTATAACTTTTGATTCCCCCCAAACCTAACTACTAATATCCTACTGTTGACCACAAGCCTTACCAATAACCCAAAGAGTAGCTTAAGACATATTTTGTAATGTTATATGTCTTATACACTGCATTCTTACAATAAATAAGCTAGAGAATAGAAAATGTTAAGAAAATCATAAGGAAAATACAGTACTGTACTGTTTTTATTTTTAAAAATCCATGTAGCTCAAACTCACGTTGTTGAAGGGCCAACTGTATTTTAAAGAAAAAAGCTTATTAGCAATGCATGCTGAAATATCTACAGATGAAATTATATGATGTCTAGAATTTACTTCAAAATAACATGGAAACAAGGACAGACTGAAGGGTTATGTGTGAAACAAGAATGGCCATATGTGATTAATTACTACCACTTGGTCCTACACTACTCTGTCTGCTTTTCTATATGTTAAAATTCTCATAGAGTTTTTTTTTTAAGTTATAGCAAAATAAAGGCTTTTCCAGGCGACCGAATAAGCAAACAAACAAAAAATAAGCCTTTCAAGTTCCTCCTATTTCCATGAATTTTGTGTTTTTTTATACTTTCCAATTCCGTGAAGGTTTCAAGGGAAGACCTTTGTATTCTCCTCTATTTTTAAAAAAATTATTTAGATAAAAGCGTTTGCAGCAAATATAATTTTCTGTCATCAGACCATTTTCACCTGTACTGATAATATAATTGAATTTTTTTATTGAAGTAAGGTTGACATACAATGCTATTTTAGTTTCAGGTGTACAACATAGTGATTTGGCAATCTTGCACATTAAGTTATGCTCACCACAGTAAATGTAGTCACCATCTGTCGCCATACAACATTACAATATAATTGTATATTTGTATAATTGTATAATTGTAATGATTTTAAGGCACAGGTCTTTTTACTAGGGTGAAGACTTATTTTAAGACACTAGAAATTAAGATTTCTTAAGGTTTTTACGTGGCAATACTTTAGACAGCCTGACTATTAATATAACATAAAGAAGTAAACATGCTAAATTTTAAGATAAATTGAAGATGATAAATAAATTAAAGTGTTCAAAGAATGAACAAGTTTTGTTTAATGGAGAGTGGAAACAAGAATGCAAATGCATTCAAAAAATTATCTTGCTCTGTAAATTGTCTCCAATACGGAATGGTAAAAACATACTGACTAATACTTAACTTGTAATCATTTATTTTTGCACATGAAGACAGTAATGGAAATATGGGCTCAGTTTACTGTCAGGGTGCTGACTTTTACTGTCATACATTTCTATGTAATGTTTGTGACATCTCATTGGTTTATGAGTCTTAGCAATATTAAAAAAGTAATTAATAAATACAACTCATAGCCTAATCTAGGCAGAGTTTGATTGATGAGAATCACTGAGTTTTTTCTTCAACATTTTATTCAGAGTTTCCTACATCATATGGAAATAGAATAGCAATTGAATCAACAGAGAACTAATAAGATCATAATTAGGGTCTTATAAGGTAAATTTATAGTAATATCAGCTTTCTTACTAATCATAGTAGATAGCAGATTCAACATCACATTAAAAAAAAAAGATGCACGGTAAATCTTAATTACTTACACTGAAAGGTCCTACTCTCTACATCACATTGACAATTTAAATCTTCCTAGTATAACTGTTCAGGACCTTTGCCCTGTTTGAAAACAACCAAGTAAATGCAAATGATTTTAAATCAAGGATGACTGTGCAATTACTTTAGGGAAGGAAGAATTAGCTTATCCATTAGTGTTATAGGTTGCTATAAGGAGAAACATGCTGTCTGTTCATTCAATTAGCCCCCAACCTCAAGGCAACCAATCATTTCATTTGTAACATTGCTGATTAAGCAGCTCTGAATTTTGTAAAAGCTATGCCTTTAGACAATATAACCTTGCTAACATATTTCTCTGGGAATGCTTAGATCTATTTGGTACCTTAGTTAATTGTCAGAAGACATAAATGATTTATTTACTAGATTTTGATCAAATTCTATTTAAAAATTTATGATAAAAAGAACACTATAAAATTAATTTTTTAATCCAAATCACCATAAACATACATACATATTACTTCAAAATGCAATGATAACTTGATGATATATGTACTGAAATTATTCAATAAAATAATAGAGAATGGAAACAAGAATCCAAATGCAAATCTCACACAGTATTGTCTGCTTTAAACTGAACAAGTATTTTCACTTTGAACTATGCAGCAGAAATATTAATTCCAAATAGTTACATAACAGAACATTGCAACTATCAATTATTGTTCAAAATTTATGCTTCCACACGAAAGTATTATATGTTTTTAGATGAATGCACCTTCAATCAATACAAGAAAGCAACCCTAAGCATCTCAAGGTTTTTTAATGTACATTTAATTTTAGACATTTTTATCTACTTACAGAACTTCATTTCAAGAGTAAAGTATTATAACTATATTTTCAGAAATGTGAACATGCAAACCTCTCAGATAATAATGCACATATATATGTATCATATACAGCAATATATACGTATATACGTATATATTGCTGTATATGATATTAAATATAAAAGGAAGAGTAAGAGCTTTACCTGGTTAATCACCTGTGTTGGTCTAAAGCTGAGAAGAACAAATGGATTCACCAGCAATGTCTTGTCTGGTATCATGAGCGAGGTGGCCGCAGTTTCAAGGGGTGGGATTTATCTTCAGTAATGAATACCCAAGGGACTGTTTCCAATCAGGGAATGCTACTGCAGACAATGAAACCATTCTCTATTTGTTGACCGAGGTTTTGTATGTGCAATCTGCTGTGGGTGTATTCATACATCAGCACAGGAACCGACATATATTTCACTGAAGTTCATGGTATGAAGGATATTTTGAAACAAAGATTATAGGAAAACAAAACTTATCATTCATTTCTCTGAAGTTTTTCCACTGGTTTATTCATTACTTCTAATTTTCCCCCTGTTGGAAAGAAAATCATGAAAAGGCTTAACTCCAAGCAGTATAATCCCTCACCTGATGATACCAGAGCCCTCTGGAACAACACTGTGGATGGATATACACGGTCTCTGCCTTGAAAATTTTAATGACGGGAGTGCCTCGCTATTTTTAGATCTACCTTATTCAGCTCAGGACAGTGCTACCTGTTAGACATTTCTCTATATTCACCAAAACGTATGTAACAGTATTTTCACCAAAAATGTATATAAACTCCTATGTCTCCTATTACAAATCAGAACGTTTTGTTTATCTGAGAGTTACATTTTCCAGTTAGGTAGTTCTAATTTGTTGTCACACATTCTTCACCCAGTTCTGTCCATTTCTTTCAAGTATATATCCATAATCCAACTTCTCACCACTTGGGCTACTACTGCCCTAGAGAGCTGGCCATCAGCCGATCTTCCTGAATGGCTTCCCTTTTTCTACACTGCGGCCCTGCAATCTATTTTCCATACTGCAGCCTGGCCGATCCATTAAAAGATAAATCAGATCATGTTATTCTCTTGACCCTCCATTACTGTCCTACTTTAATAAGTGATCTGAAAAAATTCTCTAGTAACTTCCAGCCTCATTTAGAATAACATAAAACCCCTTTAGGATGGCCTGTAATAGCCTGGCCTCTCACCCCAGCTCTCTGACCTTACTTAACTCTTATCCTTCTCTTCTACTTCCCAACTTGCTCCCTCCACTGTCTGGGTACATTGGCCTTCTGGTTGCTCCTCGAAGATGTCGGCAGCGCTCCTGCCCTGGGAACTTGACCTGATGACTATTGTCCTGGAATACCCCTTCCCAGGTGGATTTCTCTGCATTTACTTGTCAGTTCAAATGTCAGCTTAACTGTGGGATCTTTCTTGACTACCCATGAAAATAGCATATACACCCTTCATCATACTCCCTCTTATCCTGTCTTATTTTTTCTCCATGGCATTCAGTTATTTATGCATTTATTTGTTTATTAGGCATATCACCCAGTAGAATAAAAACTCCATGAGAAAGGGGATTTTGTTTTATTTACTGATGTATCTTAGCATCCTGAAGAGGGCTTTGCAACGAGTTGGCATTGAAAACATATTCTTAAATGAACGTATTATTAAGCTTTGCTTCCTTCTCCACTTTATAGAATATTCTAACCAATAGAATCTAATGGAATAAATGAATTATCAATCTATGGTATGAGCCTATCTCGGAGATCTTGAAGATTTGATTCTAGACCACTGCAATAAGATCAATATCGTAATAGAGCAATTTTTTTTAGTTTCCCAGTGCATATAAAAGTTATGTTTACACCATACTTTAAGTGTGTAATAGCACTGTGTCTATCATGTTACATACCTTAATTTAAACATACTATATTGCTAAAAAACATTAACCATAACCGCAGCTTTCCACGAGTCATAACCACGGACCACAGATCCCATAACAAATATAATGAAAAACTGCAATACTGCGAGAATTACTACAATATGACGCAGAGACACGAAGTGGGCAAAGGCTGTGGGGAAAATGGCGTCATCAGGCTTGCTCAACACAGGGTTGCCACAAACGTTCAATGTGTAAAAAACAATATCTGCAAAGGGCAATAAAACAAGGCACAATGAGACAGACCAAGTATGCCTGTAGTGCTCCCTCGTTCATGGTTTTGTTTTTTGGTGTCTGAGGTTTCAGTTACCCACAGTAACTCAGTCCAGTAGCAGATGATCCTCCTTCTGATGGACTGTCAGAAGGTCAATAGTAGCCTAACACCACGTCACAGTGCCTGGTCACCCATTTCGCTTTCTCTCATAGCGTAGGCATTTCGTGGTCTCACTTCATCACGAGAAGGGTGAGTACTGTGCAACAGAATATTTTGAGAGAGAGACCACATTCACATAACTTTTATAACAGCATGTTGTTATAATTGTTCTATTTTATTATTGTTGCTAATCTCTTTGTCCAATTCATAAATTAAACATTATCATAGGTATGTACGTATAGAAAAAAAACATAGTATATATAGGGTCCGGTAGCATCTATAGTTTCAAGCATCCACTGGGGTCTTGGAATGTATCCCCCGCGGATAAGGGGAGGGTTACTGTATGCTAATAATGGCTTATGTGACTTTGTAAACTAGCATAACCATCAAACATATATTAAAATCTTAGAACCTGAAGATTCACCCTTTGTTCATTTTCTGTTACCAGGCAGGACTGCACTGAATCTATGGACAATTTTGTTCTTGGTCTCCCTTTATACCTATTCAATCGGCTTTAATCACCATTATTATAAGAAAATACTCTCTGCATAAAACTTGGTTTCTTTCTGCAAATAATCTCTCAGGAGATTCTGAAAAGCTCTTAATAGGCGTTTCTTTTTTTATTCCTTAAAATATGCAAGGCTTTTTCTGAAGCACTAGTTTACTACAGGTCTTAATTTATATCTCCTTCACGTTCAAAAAGTATCTCTTTATTCATTTCAGCAAAATCTCTACATTTATTTGAAAGCTAAAGAATAAAATATGAGGTGTCAGTTTTGTGAAACAGCATGCAAGTGAAACTATCTTTGACCCTGTTTGAAGTGAGACGTAACTTCCTAATTGTACCTTGAGTTAATTCTAATGGTTACTTCCAGACAATGAGAGAAAAAGTGATACAACCAACAAATAACTCTCAATTTGTAAAAGTTTTAGAAGTTTGATATATCATCGGTCAAGATATAGGAGGTGATATGAAAGCTACTGTGTTAGGGGCACCTGGATGGCTCAGTCAGTTAAGCATCTGGCTTTGGCTCAGATCATGATTTCATAGTTGGTGGGTTCGAGCCCCACGTTGGGCTCTGTGCCGACAGCCCGGAGCCTGGAGCCTGCTTCAGATTCTGTCTCCCTCTCTCTCTGCCCCTCCCCTGCTCACACTCTGTCTCTCAAAAATAAATAAGCGTTAGAAAACATTTAGAAAGCTATCGTGTTAGGAGTCAGGGATGTAGAATGTTTAGGATTGGGATAGTAGTAGAATGGTCAGAACAAACAGATGTTTTATTAAGTTGGTTTTTTTTTAATTTTTTATTTTTTTTAAGTTTATTTATTTATTTTGGGAGAGAGAGAATGAGAGAGAGAATCCCAAGCAGGGTCTGCACTGTTAGTGTGGGGCTCGAACTCACCAATCGTGAGATCATGACCAGAGCTGAAATCAAGAGTCAGACGCTTAACCGACTGAGCCACCCTGGCACCCCTATTAAGTTGGTTTGTAAAACAAAGCTTCATATCACTACTAGGATTTTGGCATATTTATCTATGTTTCTACATCTCTATATATGTGTCTATATATCTACCAATGTATCTATCTACATCTCTATGTCTCTATCATTTATCTATCTATCATCTACCTACTCACCGTACTTATATAAAGGAAAAATATTTAGAATATTTGACAAGTTTAGCTGAGGTAATAAATAATTGGAAAGAATTTTGGCCATCATCTTTGGAGCAGGGTCCTGGAGGCTCCTTATTTTCCAGGTATCACACTGATTTCATGGATCACAGAGACACAGAGTCACAATGTAGGTGCTGAGCCACACGAGGGCACTCAGGGCTCCTGGGTAGCTTAGATCAAATGTGTTACTCACTCTATTGCACAGACATTTTATTCTTAGTAAAGATTTCTTAAGCTTACTTAAAAAAAAATCTTACTATAAACATATAAGTTAAGGTAATGACTTTCTAATGACTTTTATCATTTTTTTTAATGTTTATTTATTTTTGAGAGAGAGAGAGATGCAGCATAAGCAGAAAAGGGGCAGAGAGAGGAGGAGACAAAGAAAGGAGGAGACACAGGATCCAAAGGAGGCTCCAGGCTCTGAGCTGTCAGCACAGAGCCTGGCACGGGGCTCGAACTCATGAACCATGAGATCATGACCTGAGCTGAAGTTGGAGGCTTAACCAACTGAGCCACCCAGGTGCCCCTCTCTAATGACTTTTGTAAGAGGAAATATGTCCTTTATATTTCCTTTGGGATACTTTCTCAATAACCTTTGAAGCAGTGCTCATAAAATTACTATGTTCCAGGCTTTGAAAACAATTTTCTCAGATCACATACAAGCTTAAGGTACCATTTAACCATTCTTCAGTAAAGGAATAAATTTGTTCATTTCTGAGTTCTGTGTTGTGCTTATATTAAATTACTGTCTAACTGGTTTCCATCCACTTTCCAGATTACCTTAATAGAAAATAACATTACTGCCCCAGGTCATTTCTCCTGATATAAATGGATTAGATACGTATATTTTCTTATTCCTCCTTAGAGAGGTTTAATCTGGCAGCAGCATTTTCTGAATTTGACACTGGTTAAGGGACAATGCATCCATTAGTGGCCAAGGTACAGCTAGATGTTAATTAAATCATCATGCTCTTTCGTAGGTGGATTATGTTTTCTGTTAGAGAAAATTAAATTCATAAAATAATGCTTTTCCCTTGAAAATGGAAAATCTTTTTGCATGGTTAGCAGCTGCCATTCTAATTTCTGATGCGGTGTGCAGGATGAGAGAAAAGACATAGTACTTCATAATCAAGACAGTGGCCCCGAAGAGACTGCAGTCACTTCTATACCTGGGAGAAGGCTCATTTTATACTTGGCAAGTGAACATTGTTTGGAATTCTGAAATCAAACTCTTCTCTCTGAATGTGGAGACATCAGAAATGACAATTTGTATTTCACAGTATCTTTACTCTAAAGCACTTCAAGGATTGCAAATAAGCATGTGATTGTGTCTGTGGTTCTTCTTTACGGAAACAGAACATCAGAATGCTTTCCACAGGGTGTTGGGTTTGTGAGAAGCCCTCTGTGTCTAAAGGCTGGAACAAAGCCTATTATCCCTAATGATCTTCTTTCTGTACCCCTTCTGGACGAAGCCACAGGATTAATGATATATTTTTAAATTGGATTTAAAGAGTTATCTGGATGTTAAAAGTATGGTAAAGAGTTCCTTTACCC